AAGATGTATGTCTGTCTGACAGTTAGACATTAAGCAGCTTCCATAACGCGTCTTTTACTATGTTTTATACATGTACCTAGGTAAAGAGTTGGTTGATTACATCTGCCATTATCTCACTACTGTGAGGGAAAGACGTGTAAACCCAGATGTTCAGCCTGGTTATATGAGAGCCCTGCTGCCCGACAGTGCCCCGTTGGAGTCCGAGAGCTGGGACAACATTTTCAGGGACATTGAGAAAATCATCATGCCTGGGGTAACGTAGATTGATAAAGAACTAAGTATGTTGAAATACATCCTACAACAATTACATTACATACCCTTACTGAAGAAAACATTGATATCATCAAATGTCAGAATGGTTGAAAAATGTTTTGATTGTTTGTCCATTCTGTTTTTGCATCGCAGACCACAAGAATATTTCTGATCAGTTGAATGCAAATAAATGCAGGGTATTTGCTGAAATGCAAGCATGGGAAATATGAAAGGATAACCGCAAACACACACCAAAGCTATGAAAATACATGAATGATACACAGTTCACACTATATTTGTTTATTTATTATAGGTACTTATATAGCGCCATCAATTTAGGCACCACTTTACATATACATAGTATATTCACATCAGTCCCTGCCCTTGAGGAGCTTAAAACCTAATGCCCCTAACTCACATTCACATATACTATGACTAATTTAGACAGAAGCCAGTTAACCCCTTCCCGCCGGCGCCTCCCGGCCCTTTAAGATTTTCAGACGCCGGGAGGCGGGGCGTGGTTTAGGGATCACATGATCGGGAAAGGTAGGTCCCGATTGAAAGAGCAGACCGGGACCTTTCCGTGAGTACCGCACATGTGGGCTGGGAGCACGCAGGGCGCGCGCTCTCAGCAGATATGTTTTTTCTTCCATGAATGCAAATGTGCGGCCGCTCAACGTCTAGGCCCAGACGCCGGGAGGCCGCACATTTGTGTGCGGCCGGCGTAAAGGGGTTAACCTACCAACATGTCTATATTGTGTTTTACTTATCAGAACATCATCATGTCTTTTGTCAGTCTAAGCTTAAAGGGATTTTACGATGGTTCTGTACATTTCTTGTTTATCCCTATGCCTGCCTGTCCAGACCTTTCCCGGTAGACAGGCAACCATCATCAGTGTGCCTTCCCTGATCAAGTTATCTGCTCTGTGTGACAATCATTTAGTCACAAAGTCTGCCCTGGGTGACAGTCTGACCTTTGTGACAACCATGTAGTCGGATTATCTGCCCGGTGTGACAATCACTTAGCACATAGTCTGCCCTGTGTGATAATAATTTTATTTAGTTGTGTTGCTGTCAGCTTTGTGTAATGTAATTTTTCACTGTCAGACTTGATTACTTGGCAAGTATCATTTTTAACATAAAGCTTGATCACCTTGCAAGTATAATTTCAACGTTGAACCTGAGGGTTTTTTTTTTTTTACTGCACAAATGTAAGAAAAACAGTGTTCAGGAGGCAAGTATGTATTATTATTCTTATACAGGATTTCTCTAGAGCCAACAGTTTGCGCAGCACTTTACAATACAATTCAGTACAGAAGGAATAGGAGGGCCCTACTCGTGGAGCTTACAATCTAAAGGGAGGGGGAAATGGTACAAAAGGTAATAGCTGCAGGGGATGATCTAATGGCGGTTACTCAAGTATGGCTTTTTAGGTGGAGGTAGAGTAGGCTTTCCTGAATAAATTATTTTTCAAGGATAACCTAGAGATAGACAGGGTAGGAGCTCACCGGATATACTGGGGTAGGGAGTTCCAGAGGATGGGAGAGATTCTGGAAAAGTCCTGTAGGCAAGCATGGGAGGAGGTGACAAAGAAGCTATAGAGAAAGATGTCTTGGGAAAAGCGAAGAAGACGATTTGGGAGATATCTGCAGATAAGGTTGGTGATATAGCTGGGGGCAATAGTGTGGATGGCTTTATACATTGTGGCTAGTATTTTGAATTTTAAACGTTGGGCTAGTGGAAGCTAGTGAAGAAATTGGCAGAGAGGGGCAGTAGTCATGGATCGATTAGTAAGGTGTATAAGCCTGGCAGCAGCATTCACAATAGACTGAAGGGGGATAGCCTGTGTAAAGGTAAGCCAGTGAGGAGGGAGTTGCAGTAGTCAAGGTGGGATATAACCAAGGAGTGAATAGGCTGTTTTGTGGTGTTGTTAGTCAGGAAGGGGCGAATTCTGGAAATGTTGCAGAAATTGAGGCAGCAATATTTAGCCAGTAACTGGATGTGGGGTCCAAAGGAGAGGTCAGAGTCTAGGATTACTCCTAGCACCATGGCATATGTGGAGGGACCAATGGTTGTGCTGTTGATCTCAGTGGCAATGTCATGGAAGAGGGGGGGAATCGGAGGAGGAAAAATTACAAGCTCAGTTTTAGAAAGATTGAGTTCGAGAAAGTGGTGTGGCATCCATAATGATATGTCCCTCAGTAAATTTGTGATACGTGAAGAGATCAAGCGGGTCAGTTGGGGAGTAGAAAGGTAGATCTGGGTGTCGTCGGTTTAGAGGTAGTACTGGAAGCCATGGAAGGTTATCAATTGGCCCAGGGAAGAGGTGTACAGCGAGAATAGGAGGGGCCCAAGGACAGAGCCTTGAGGTACCCCAACAGAAAGATTAAGGGGAGTGGAGGAGATGGTGCTGTATGTGACACTGAAAGTGTGTTGAGATAGGTAAGAGGAGAACCACGAAAGGGCAGAGTCCCAGAGGCCAAGGGAGTGGAGTTTTATTGAGGATTTGCTGGTGGTTAACTGTGTCAAAGGCAACAGAAAGGTCTAAGAGTATGAGTATAGAGTAATGGCTGTTGGTTTGAGCAGTAAAGATATCTCAGATTTTTAATTCTAATTCCAACAGTGAACCAGCAGAAAACAGTGACATGTTAACAGTCAGCTCTGGTTCTGAAGAAGAAGCAATCCCTGCAAAAACAGCCAGACATACTAAGTTACCAAGCTGCAGTAGTGTGGTTCATCCAAGCAAAATGTATAAGAAAAGCACCAGCAGTGCAGAGCAGCAACACCAGCCACAAATGATGGACCAACAGTGTCCTAAAGAGTCCATGCTAGTGCTCCTGATGGCTTTGGAATTTCTTTGTGGGTAGCTCCCAACTTTAAACTACATTGACCGTTTTTTACTCAAAACTTGTGGTGCAATGCAACCAAATCAGAAGGGCTTTACACAAACTCTTGTGAATACAAAAAGGGAGCATTTGCAAGTCTGGAAAGCCAGGAATCCCATCATTAAAATTCAAGGATAAAAATGATGTTTATATCCGGGGTCTCTTTACCATCCACAAGAGGACCATAGTGCCAGGGTAAATGAACTGTGCTGAGATACAAAAAAAAAAAAAAACACACACTGCATCCAAGAGTCCATTCTACACATAGGAAGAGTAGATTTCAATTACCAGATGAGGAAGTCCCACCTGGGAGCTCATAGATCAAGGCACTGATATATATATATATATATATATATATATATATATATATATTATATATATATACAGTATATATAAGAGACTTTGATCTACATCTATTTTTGTCAGTTGGCCATGTTCAATTTGTAAATCATTTACAAATCTACAGGAAATTCTGGCTCCTTCCCGATACATGGAAAACATTATAACATTGTCATCAGACAGACTATAAGACTCCAAATCTTTTGGAGGCTGCAGTGAGTAGACTACATGGGAGACACTTGCCAGGTCTCATTCCTACCAAACCATTGGGACAACCCAAAAGAGATGTGTTGCATGCAGAAAAAAGGAATTCAGCATGGCGCATGGGGGTAGATTTACTAAAACTGGAGAGTGCAAAATCTGATGCAACTTCTAACTTCAGCTTGTTCAATTAAGTTTTGACAGTAAAACCTGGAAGCTGATTGGTTTCTGTGCAGAGCTGCACCAGATTTTGCACTCTCCAGTTTTAGTAAATCAACCCCATGACATTATTGTCCCAACTGTCTCACAAAACCTGGTATCTGCATAAATGAATATTATCATACTTGACGGCAATATTAGTCCTCCAGTTTAGTACTACGAATTAGTAAGCTTTGTTTGAGAAAGAACTTGTTAAAATGACATTTTTGTGCTCAAAAAAGTATGATTGTTCACAGAGCTCAGCAAGTCATTCCAGTAATGATTAAACCCTTAAACAACTTAGTTTGGAACTTCAAGAGTCTCAAGGCAACCATGCCTTCTTTGCTGTCTTTTTTGCTAGCCTATAGTTCTCTGTGATTTCGTTCCTATGTATTGACATTTTATTTGTAAGATTACAGGAAGAATCATGATCTCTACATGTCTTTGCCTATTTTTCTCAATCTAGTGATAATTTTGACATGCTGTTTTCACATAAGATAACTGCTGCTTATGCATTTTTCCTCATATGGTCAGTTTATATTGCTAAGGTTTGTAACATGTTTACTTTAGCCTTCCATTAGTGGGGCAAGAACAGTTTAATATGTCTCAATGAGAATGTTATAATCCATACTATTGGCACAATCAAATGTTGAATGACTGTAAAATTTAAGCTGATTTTTAGTCCATCGCAGTGTGTACCTGGTAAACACAGTATACATTCTCTCTGAGCAAATGGCGTGGGGTTGATTTACTAAAGGCAAAAAGGCTGTTCACTTCTAAGGGAGGTTGCACAGTACAAGGAAATGTTCCCTAGAGCTTAGTGAATGGGGTAAAATTTCACTTTGCAAAGAGTTCCCAATCACATGTAAGGAAAATTTAAAAAAACAGTATTTTTGCTTGCACATGATTGGATGATTGTTAGCTTCACTTCACTCTGCAGAAAATTTCCTTGCAAAGTTCCACTTTCCTTGCAAACTGAACCTTTAGTAAATAAACCCCAATGGGTCTCTGTTGGTATATTGGCCTCATTCAATGTTCCATCTATTGATTAGTCTCCATTATTTGTTCCTGTAGGTTGTCCATTGGCAGAGTCCTCATATGCATGCTTATTTCCCAGCACTAACATCTTGGCCTTCCTTGTTAGGAGACATGTTAGCAGATGCCATAAACTGCTTAGGATTTACATGGGTAAGTTGTGCCTATTCTGTCCACCACAACACAAACTCAGATCAATTAATATGCTTGTCCTGACACAGTGTTGACTTTTTTTTTGCAGCCTACGACTATCAGTTATTCATTATTATGATCTGTAAAAATAAAGCCTTGAAGTGAATGTCAGTGCACTAACTTGTTTGGCTAATTCATGGGTGTGCTTAGGTTTCTGTTTTTTTTTTTTTTTTAATTATTATTATTGTGAGGGTTTGTGGGTCCAAACTACTATTATTACTTCCAATACTACTTTTGTTGCTGCTACAACTGTTAGTGAAAGACAGACATACCAAGTTTGTGACTTACTGCTATGCTGCAGTGTAAATGTTTACTTAAAGCGGAGCTCCAGGGGACGTTCCGCTTTAAAGACTGATCCCCCACTCCCCATTAAGGATTGGCGCCTTTGGGGGGCGGGGGGAGTGGGTACCTGAATTTGACAGGTACCTGTTCCCATTTCCACTCCAATCGCCTAGGCATCGGAAGTGGAAGGTGTCCTCCCTTCCTCCCTCCCCGTAGTCGATTGGGACACGTGACAGGTCCCAGAAGACTACAGGACCATTCAGGAAGCGCAGCACTACTCAAGCATGCGCAGTGGGCACCCGGCTGTGAAGCCTCAATCTTTCTCAGCTGGGTGCCCACACTGAAGATGCCGGCGCCCAGGGAGAGAAGACGGCCAGTAAAACAGGCTGCAGGGGACATACACCACAGGACCGAAGGACAGGTGAGTGTTTTTTTTTTTAAAAGTCAGCAGCTACAGTTTTTGTAGCTGCTGACTTTTATTTTCTGACAGTGTGAGTGGAACTCTGCTTTAAATATGCTTTTATTAGTTGCAGGGCAGTAACTTGGTGCTCCAGAAGTAGCATAAAGCATATGAAGTGCAACCAAAATCAGACTACCAAATTTGTTGTGAAGATCTTTCTATAAATATGCACATTTGGTTCAACTGGATATGTATGGGCATAACTATAGAAAAAAGAAGGGAAAACACAAAATAAACTTCAACACAACCATCATTTCTGCCCTTAGATCAGTTGGCCAGGGATACAGAAGTAGCATAGTGCCAGCAAACATATAGAATCGGGTGATAATCATCTTATTTCTGGGGTACGTGCTTACATAGGGGTTTATTTGCTGAAGGCAAGGGAATTTTCCCGAGAGCTTAGTGAATGTGGTGCTTGTATGTGATTGTGGGATTGAATTCAGCAGAGCTTCACCTCATTCAACAAGCTCTGGGGAAATTTCCTTGCAAAGTGAACAGTTTATTTGCCTGTAGGAAATCAACAACATTGTCTATCTTACCTATTATTCAGTCAGCAATGATACAAAGTGAGGCTCATTGGGGCAGGAAAGGGAGGTCCTTAGACTAGCTTCATGCTGATAAGGTACAATCATTTCAGATCAATATATTTGTAGATATATACAAGTAAATAAATAAAATATCTTTCTAACCTGGCCCCCTTTCATTTCTGTGTTATACTCACTAAAAATAGTTGTGGGATCATTACAATTTACGGCTTGCTTTTTATCCTGAAATCTTAAATTGGATTTACAGTATGAAAGGCTTTCAGCGCCGCTGCATCATCAGCCATAAATAAAAACGGGTGTAATGCAATGTGTGAAGATTAAGAGGAGGTGAGAGTGTGAGAGAAAATGTGTATGGAAAGTTTAACATGCAGGTACACTAAATATCCAATGAAACTGAGAAAACATGAATGGAAGAAAAATAGGAAGAAATAAAAGAAATGTCTTTGTTGATAACAGTATTATAAATAAATACTAAAAGGTATGTGATTTTTTTTTTTCTTCCTATACCCCATGATCAGGCCTCCAGCCCAGCATGTACAGAGTTAGAAATGAATGTGATGGATTGGTTGGCAAAAATGCTAGGCCTTCCTTGCCATTTTCTACACCATTATCCAGAGAGCAAAGGAGGAGGAGTGCTGCAAGTAAGTTCTATCTAAATGCATGTACTTTTAAATAATCAGACATCATCATGGGACAGTTTTACTGTGATAATTATTATTTTTAATATACAGGATGTATATAGCACCAACAGTTTGAGCAGCGCTTTTTAATGTAAGGGCAGTTACAATACAATTGAATACATGAGGAATAAGAGGGCCCTGCTCGTTAGAGCTTACAATCTAAAAGGGGAGGGCCAAGTGATACAAAAGGTAATAACTGTGGGGGATGAGCTGATGGATAAAATACATATACAGTTGTTAGGTGGAGGCAGGATAGGCTTCTGTTAAGAGAAAAGTTTTTTTGGGATTGCCTAAAAGAGCACAGAGTAGGAGATAGTCAGACAGATTGGGGTAGAGAATTCCATAGGATGAGAGAGGCTTGGGAGAAATCCTGCAGGCGAGCATGGGAGAAAGTGACAAGGGAACTAGAGAGCAAGAGGTCTTGGGAGGAACAAAACAAATAATTTTGTTGGCATTTTGTGACTAGGTTAGTGATGTAGCTGGGGGTTGTGAATGGCTTTGTAAGTTGTTAGTATTTTGAATTTGATTCGTTGGGTGAGTGGCAGAAAAAAGGGTGGCAGACACTGAATAGTTGGTAAGGTGGATCAGCCTAGCAGAGGCATTCATGATGGACTGGAGGGGGGATAACCTATGTAAAGGTAAGCCAATGAGGAGGGAGTTGCAGTAGTCAAGGCAAGAGATAACATGGCAGTGAATTAGGAGCTTTGTGGTGTCATTGGTTAGGAAGGGGCATATTTTTGGAGATGTTGCAGAGGTTGAGACGGCAAGCTTTGGACATTGATTGGATGTGGGGCCGAAAGGAGAGTTCAGAGTCCAGGTTTACACCTAGTACCCTGGCAAGCGAGGACGGGTTGATGGTTGTGCCATTGATCTTGACAGAGAAGTCAGGGGAAAGGGGCAGGGGGGGAGGAAATATTAACCTCCCTGGCGGTATTCCCGAGCAGGGGCGGACTGACAACTCATGGGGCCCCTGGGCAATAGGGGATCATGTGGCCCCTGTGTCCTTGCCCACACTCAAAGCACACCCAAAAAAAGCCTATAAAATAGACCAGCTAGAATACAGCGATAGTAAATCAGAACCACTTGCAGAATTGAGTGCTAATGACTTGTGGGGAAATTCGTCATCAGACACTGAAAACGATTTGCGACTAAGCTCAGTGATGTGTGAACTTGCTCTATATCAAATTTCAGTGTTTTTGGTTTGATTATATTATTGAATTAAATTTATTATTTTATTATTATTTTTTATGATTATTTATTATATTGTATTTATGATTTCGTGTTTCAAATTTTATCATACCCGGGATGTTTACTAGACTCTTGTTCGGACAGATTTCAGTGAGTTATTCCTAAAAATTACAGGCCTACAATAAAAAAAAACCAACATATTTCCATGCAAAAAAATGTACCGCTTTCAGCACAGAAATATGGACATAATCATACCGCTAGGGAGGTTAAGAGCTCTGTTTTGGATAGATTGAGTTTGAGGAAGTGGTGTGACATCCAGACTGATCTGTTGGTCAGTAAGTTAGTGATGCATGAGGAGACTGATGTTGTGAGCTAAGGGGCAGAGAGATAGATTTGGGTGTCATCAGCATAGAAATGATAATGAAAGCCATGAGAGGCTATCAGCTGACCCAGGGAGGAGGTGTAGATAGAGAATAGGACAGGTCCAAGAACAGAATCTTGGGGGACCCCAATGGAGAAAGGAAGAGGAGAGGAGGAAATAGAATTGTGAGTGACACTGAAGGTGCGGTGGGATAGGTAGGATGAGAACCAACGAAAAGCACAGTCACGGAGACCAGGAGAGTAAAGTTTTCTGAGGAGGAGGGGGTGGTCAACCATACCAAAGGCAGCCTAAAGGTCCAGAAGAAGGAGTACAGAATAGTGTCCATTGGTTTTAACTGTTAGTAAATTGTTTGTGAGTTTTAGGCAAGCAGTTTCTGTGGAATGTTGAGGGCGAAATCCAGACTGAAGGGGATCAAGAAGGTTATTCTTAATGAGGTGGTCACAAATGAGGTTGTAGACCAGGTGTTCAAGGAGTTTGGAGGAAAAGAGGAGCAAGGAGATAAGGTGTAGGTTGTTTAAGATTGGTGGGGTCCAAGGAAGGCCTTTTAAGTTTGGGGGTAACTAGTGCATGTTTTAGAGTGTTGGGGAGCCAGAAGAGAGGTAGAGATTGAAGATGTGAGTTAGAGAGTGTATGTAGGATAGAGCCAGAGGGTGACCACAGTATTTGAGAGGGAATAGGGTCCAGAGGGCCAGGTGGTTAGATGAGCATTAGAGAAATGTTTAGCACCCTCGTCTATACTAGCAGAGTTGAATAAAGGAAGTGTTGAGTGTACCTGTGGACATGGGTTGTTAAGTGGGGGTGTTATCTGTAGAGTGGAGATTTCATCACAAATTGTATCAATCTTTTTTTTTTAAGTGATTGGCGAACTCTTGGGAAGTGAGTGAGTTAGTGGGTGGAGGACGAAGTATAGCATTAAAGGGAGTGAAGAGTTGACGGGGACTGGATGAGAAGGTGTTAATGAAAAGGATAAAATAGGTCTGCTTGGCAGTGTGGAGGCTAGAATTGTATTTTTGGAGGACTGTTTTATATAGGTTAAAATCTTTGTGAGACTTAGTCTAACGCCACAGATACTCCAGAGCGCGGCTGTGTTTTTTGAGACTTCTGGTATCTGTGATATAGGTATTTTATTTTTCATGCCAGTGAGTGCATGTTAGAATACAACAAGCATCAGATTTATAATTATAATGTATTGTATTGATAAGTAGAATACTGCCTAACATACAAATTGCCAGCTCATAGTCACTATGTAGACCACGCACAGAGAATAATGTAGATTTACAGACAAACATAAAAATGAAGTAAAAAATTTGCATGAACCACTCTTTGTCATTATCTATTGAAACTCATCTCATATTTTACACAAGTCCTGTATAAAATAAGAAAGTAGTTATTAGTAATGACCATCTAAATCACTGCTACACAATTATAAACAAAACTAAGGGAATCATTAATAAAGCAGTGTTGTCCTTTATCAATGACCTTTCCTCTTTGCTTGCTTCATGACCCTGAAGCAAGCCCAGTGCCATTACATTTTGTAAATGAACAGTAGTGTCAAAGTCATGTGACTGGCCTCTTTTGATCCAACACTTCAGTGGACACCACAGGCACCACACAACCATCTGCAATTTTTGAATGACTCATGTAAAATACAGACAGTGTCCGATCCCCGATATAAATAGAGTTCTAAGTGTACAGTATATAATGTTGCAAAGGAAGGAAATGGCAATTCTGTGCATATTGTTGACAAGTTGAATCACATCTTGACTTCCTATATTTCTCAGAGACTCCAGAATTTCACGAGTATTTGCCATAGCCATTACAGTCCAGATGATGGTCTCACATTCTACCTATAGATTCTCCATGATGCAGTATAGTCAATAGATAATGACAACTATGTTATAGCCTTGTGGGAAGAAGCAGAGACACAAGAAGCTGTAGGGACATCTCACAGTCAGCTAGAGATGGAAGAAACCAAGGATGTGGCCCTATGTGGCTAAATGTACAATGGCCTGTGTAAATGGGCCTTGGGCTTTATTTTGATAGCATCAAATTTAATATCAGTTTGAGACACTGAGATCATTTAAAATTTTACATTTGGTCTGCAGTTGCCCTCCTCTTTTTGACCTGTATTTCATCTACTTCAAGTGAGTTTTGCATTCCTGCCGACTTGGAAAAGCTAAACCCATTTGAAGCAAACCCATTTCAAGAATTAAAGTGATTCTAAAGGCTTAAATGCTTTTTTCTAAAAATAACAAACATGTCTATACTTACCTGCTCTCTGCAGTGGTTTTGCACAAAGCAGCCTGGATCCTCCTCTTCTCGGGTCCCCTGCAGGCTCTTCTGGCCTCTCCCTCCTGTCGGGTGCCACAACAGCAAGCAGCTTGCTACGGGGGCACCCGCTGCTCCGTGTGTCCATTCACTCCCCTCTCTCGTCTCATTGGTTCACTGGCTGTGATTGACAGCATTGTGAGCCAATGGCTCCTGCGGTTGTCTCAGCCAAATTAGAAGAGGGAGTGCTGGGATAGACGAGACTCCAGTGCACATCGCTGGATCGAGAGGGGGCTTAAGTGAGTATTAGGGGGGCTGGGGGGGATGCTGCACAGAGGTTTTTTACCTTCATGCATAGAATGCATGAAGGTAAATAACCTTGAGCCTTTATACCCACTTTAACACAGTCCTTAAATGTGTTCCGTATTCTGTTATGCCGCATCTGTGTTCTTTTATACTGAAACAATTCTGTTCTTTTTCAGAGCACTGTAAGTGAATCAACACTGATAGCTTTATTGGCTGCCAGGAAGGATAAAATCATACAAATGAAAATCTCTGAGCCTGATTCTGATGACTCAAGCCTGAACTCCCGGCTCATTGCATATGCATCTAATCAGGTAATATGTTTAAAGCTAGAAAGCTTGCCAAGATAGTTCCAAATCAGTTCCCTAACAGCCAGCTATATCTCTGGAATAAAGTCCACCATACACAGGTAGAGTTTATTACACAGGTTGTTCTTGTGTGATGATAACCTCACTGTAAATGGAAAACAAAACTATCAGCAGATGTCAGAAGACCTATTTTCATGTCACTATTTGGGATAAATGGTATTTTTCCCAGTTATTCTTTTTATCTCAGCTGATAACGTAAGGAAGAATAGGCATAATTCAGCATTTATATTATCCATCTCATAGATCAGTGCTCTCCAAACTTTCTTAACAAAGGGCAAGTTTACTGTCGTTTAGACTTTATGGGGGACTGGACTGTGCCCAGTGGGAGTAAACCATGCCCCATCTTTGGTATTAAGGGAAGAAATACTGCCCTGTTCTTGGTGTCAGTGGGAGGAATAGTGCCTGATTGTTATTGTTATTGTCATTGGAGAGGATTATGTCCCATTGTTGGTGTTCCTTGGGAGGAAGAATGCCTCAAGGCCAGATAAAGGCAAGTAAAGAGCTACATCTGGCCCCCAGGCCACAGTTTGGAGACCACTGTCATAGACTATAAGTGGGAGATCACCTGACCATATATACATAGTATGTAAAAGCTCATATAAGGCTCTGATCAATTGTTTCTGAACATTCAGACTACACTGCGTAGACCTATTTATAATATTGAGGAAATTCAGGCATGCCTTTTGCAATACAGCAGGTCAAAGAGTAAAGATAAGCAGTGACAAACAATCAGAAGTATTCTAAATGGCCTGACTGCAGTAAACCAGAATATGCACTTTGCATACTTTCCCTTTTGTACTGCTCCTTTGTCATTTGTTATTGCATTGCTGCCAACTTCTGCCAAAGTTGCCTATCACAATGCCAGAAAAAAGGTCAGCACAGGCAAGGCACAGTCAGTAACAATGATGACTACCTCCATCTCTGTAAAAACTTGTGTTTAAAGTTTACCTGTCACTTAAGCACTCTTAAAGTGGAAGTAAAGGTTTTTTTGTTTTTTTTTTAAGTTGTACTTACATGTAAGCAGAGCCGTGCTAACTAGTTTGCGCGTTAGGCAACACCAATTACTTGCGACCTTCCCCCCCCCCCCCCAAAAATGTTTTTTTAAAAAAACAGGTGAAAATATTAAATCAACACAACATGAAACTGCTGAATTTAATTTGTAAAAATATGTGCCATAAGATGCCACCAGCACCAATATTAAAGACAAAATATAAATATTAACCAAATATAAATTAACTGTATTAACCAATCAGACACAGAAAAAAAAAAGAAACAGAGTTACAAAACTCCACAGTGATCAGCAGCCGCCAGCCGGTTGTAGTAAAGGACAGAGTCTCAGAGGAACACTGGAAGGAGAGGCAACTCAGCTGCTACACTGGCGCAGACACTCGGCATCTTCTTCTGTCCTTTCTTCCTTCCCTCTGCCGTCCCTCCTCTCAGCTGAAGGATTACTCATGACATGGTGGTGTCCCACACAATCAATCAGAATCCAATTAACTTACCCCGACCATTGTCCGCCCCCTCCTCCTCCTGTCATCATCATGACCCGCCATCCTCCTAGGCTTGGATCACCTCTCATGACTCTTGCCGGGGTGTGAAGTCCAGGCTGCGATTCTCAATGAGGATAGGCGGCCTCCCAGCACTATAGGGGTTAACCCTGAAACCAGAGCGCACCCTTGCCTATTGATTGGCTCCAGCTGTGTAGAAGGTGCAGCCAGCACTGGACATGTCCCATTCAGTCACTAGCCTGCTCCCTGTTTACAGCTGGAGGATCGTGTGTGTACCACAGATGTACGGACCAATCCCCCAATCAGAGACTGCTGACCGTCTGGGGTCCTGGACTAATGTCATCACTTCCCATCCTAGGGGGAGTCGACACTTCACTTGCCTCATTGAATACTGTCATGCACATATATATATACACTAAATGGTCATGTGTGTGGACAGGCTGTGAGACAATTGTGCAGAGTACAGATACATCATTCCCTGTGTATGATAAGAGGGGGACTCTGCAGTGAAATGAGGACTTCATACTAGAGGTCCATAGGCCACACAAAGAGAGTGGCGGCCTGGGCTGCGCCCAGGTGCCCCTACATGGCAGTGTGCCCTAGGCGGCTGCCTAGTTTGCCTAGTGGAAGCACCAGCCCTGCAGGTAAGCCTACAATAAGGTTTAACTGTAGGTACAGTGAATATCGCCTAAACTTGCACTGTTTAGGAGATGTTAACACTGCATGCAATCGGTAATGTCACCGGCGCATGCACTCTGAAATTGACGGCAAACTTGTGCTGTCCCTTCAGAGCTCTGTGCTGTGGCTGTAACTCCCACTCATCATTGTGGCTCAGCCAGTCAGACGGCCGGAGCAAGTGTACCCAGAAGGAAGATCGGTGAAGATGGAAGCCCTTTCAGCGGTGCAAGAGCAACAAAACATCCATCTCTTCCCCAGTTATATCCAAAACCTAAAATAAACCATTTTGGGCCTAAAGTCTGCTTTAACAGTATGGCTATGATTTCACAAAATAACTCGTTGGTTGCTTTCTCAGGCTCATTCTTCAGTGGAAAAAGCTGGCTTAATTTCTCTGGTAAAAGTCCGGTTCTTGCCAGTAGATGAAAACTTCTCTCTTCGTGGAGAAACATTGCAGGCTGCAGTGGAAGAAGATCGAAAACGAGGGCTTGTTCCTGTCTTTGTGAGTTTCTTCTAATATCTTCTATAAAAAGTGGTTTAAGTAGGTGTTTCTTCTTTGTTAAGGTGACTGACTGTTTAAAGGAGCTACTGTGACATCTTTGCATCTATAATCAGAACAACTGATTTACGGGAATATTATTAGATTTTCAAAAAGGGATTACATTTTTATGCATCTTTATTTTTTGTTATCATATCATCATCTGCCCTGCATTGATTTAGTGCAATATTCTTGATCTTGAATTCTCCCAAAAAATTAGCCTAAAATGTGGTTAATTTGGCGACACCCACGTGGCAGAAAAATATATTTTAAAAATATTCTTCCTAAATATTTTGGCCGTATTCAATATATTTCAAATATATATTTAAAAATTTTATATATATATATATATATATATATATATATATTATAAGCACTGTATGTTGAAATGCATTTTTTATATATTAAAAAATATATGAAAAATATTTTTAAAAAATACATTTTCAAATATGTGTCTTTGAAAATACATTTAATCTAGATTTTTGGAATGCATTTACAAATACATGTAAAAATAAATGTTACAATGACTTTAGAAAATATATTTAAATTTAAATTTTTTTGAAAATACATGTTAAAACACTTGTGTCAAGCTATATTAGCGTAGGTCAATATATTAAAATATACAGTATGTCACATATATCATTTTTTTTCGAAATATTTTGGAAATATATTTCTCTTCCATGTGGGCACACACAGGCTATGGCAGCATGCAGATCTTCAGCTGCATTTGTCTAGATCACAATCAGTCACACCCAACATTCTCTTCATATAGGTGATACATTGCAATAAATATAAGCCATCAGCGGCCTTTTCTGACCACATTACTGAGGAGGACATTTATCTTGCACTATAACTATTTTAATGAGAGTTATTAAAAAAAACTAAAATCTTATGACGGTTTCATTACAGGTTTGTGCAACGCTGGGTACGACCGGTGTGTGTGCTTTTGACAACCTTGCAGAGTTGGGTCCAGTCTGTAAGTTAGTTTGCTGTTGATGTTAATGAATCATTGAAGTTTCTATGTCATAGATAGTAAATGCATATGTGCCTTTGTTTACCCCTAACACACTTGTATAATATTACTGACTAGGTGCTAAGGAAGGACTGTGGCTTCACATTGATGCTGCATACGCTGGCACTGCCTTTCTCTGTCCTGAGTTCAGGTCACTGCTTAATGGAGTGGACTACGCTGATTCTTTTACATTCAATCCATCAAAGTGGATGATGGTTCATTTTGATTGCACTGCTTTCTGGTGAGTTTACTGTACTATCGTAATACAAAAAGCATAAATAATAATAGTAAAGAATCAGGGTATATAATGTTCTCTTAGTACCTTTCAAGGAACTAAAGCTTGATTAGTGCACCATCCTTATAAATAAGTTATTTAATTCCATGAACTGCAGATTACAATTACATATGGATCAGAATGTTTGTATTTAACATACAATGGGGCTGATTTAAAAAAATAAAATAAAATGAGCACATTATTGGAGCTGTAGCCAGCAGCAATCAATAAGGTCGCTAAAAGGAGGTGAGGGGGCAATTTAGCCACTGTGGATGTGTCTGTATACACGATCACAATTCTCACAAGTTTTCACTCTGCAGGGAAGTTTTTTTGAAGCACAATTTATTGGAAGAATAATGGACATTTTAGAGACTTTATAATTGCAATATTTTTATTTTTTTATTTTTGATAGATTTTTTTCCTTATTATATGGCTGCATTTTGTAATTATTTATTAGTTTGGTCACTGGATTTAAATTGAATTAATTTATTTTTGCACGAGTCACTTTGTGTGTTATTTCCCCACATATAGGGGATTCATCATTGACCCACTGATGTAGGAGGTGTTGAGGGGTTGTTTGTTTACACAAATGTATTTGTGTGGTATTTGATTTCGCTTTAAAGAGGCCTTGGAGAGGACCTCAGTACGCATTTTTGGGCACTTTAGAGAGTTTGGACATTAAATAGATCAATATTGATCTTATCACTATTTATTATTTCTTTGTTTGGTCTTTGCATGGTTTATGTATTTATGTATTTATTTAAGTATTATTTATTAGATTTATGATCTTTTTAGCGCTGCACTATTTTCTATGATTATATTACACTACCTGAAAAAGTACCAGTTTAGAGTGTTGGCCGCTTTAATATATAGTTACCACTTCATTTAAGTGCAGGAGGAACTTTCTTGTTGAATCAATAAGGCTTT